GGAAGCATTCAAGGCCAGGTTGGACGGGGCTCTGAGCAACCTGATCTAGTTAGCGGTGTCCCTGCTCCTGCAGGGGGGTTGGACTAGATGACCTCTAGGGGTCCCTTCCAACCCCAAACATTCTATGATTCTATGATTCTACTTGGTGAAGATTTTGAGTCTTTTCTCACCGGTGTATTACTCGCCACTGAGATCCCAACCCAAAGAACTGGCCTTTTGCCTATCTTTGTCCCTAGCTACACTCTAAGGAATAGACTTTCATATACACTTATGATTATTCTCTCCAAGTCTTAGAATGACACGCATTTTTTCTTTCCTGATCCCCTAAAACAAATGACTGGCCAGATATACACCACCAAAATTCTTACCACTTACAGGGAGGAAGCCCCAAGAAGCACAATGCATTCAAGCAATTGTTCGTGTTATCGAAAACTCCTGTCTGAGACAGGTGAGCCAGACAGCCTTTTCAAAGGGAAGAACCTCCCTTTGAAAATTATTTAACACTTCCTGCTTTGTAGGTTGCAGTGTGTCACGTAACTATAGAGAAGAAAGAAAGGAAAACAGTTTTTCTACAATTTTGTAGGTTACAAGAAAACAAACCCCATTCTCCTGATGGAGCACATGAAACACTTTTCAGAGCTTTTACAGACAAGAATACAAAATAACATGCTCTTCATATATTGTAGTTATAAAATAATTGCATAGATTCAAAAATACCCAATTAATGTCCCTGCTTTGCCTTGAGAGCTAAGCTCTTCATTCCACCTCAGACTCAGCAACGACAAGAAGTCATCTCACCTGTGTTCTTGTTCCCCTGCTGCAGTCAGCTGAACATTTGGTGGAAGTGAACAAGATCTCTCCAAATCACTCAAAGGACAGGAACATATTTATATCAAACTGTTTTAAAACAGTTCCAATTGTGACACTTAATTGTTTTTTCTTGAACTTTGTAGATCACCATCATAAAATACATGCACATCAGCTGAGCCTATTTTATCATGAAGGTGAGCATAAGATAGGCACTTATAAAGACTTTTCTTGAATATGGCACACAGTTAAGAGTGATTCTGTTAAAACGAGTAAAATGTGTCCACTACCTTTTACTAACCATCCCACTTTTTCTACTGAGTGAATAATTATTAAAGTTTGGATAGAGAGGCAAAAGGGAGAATGGTGGATATTCAGCAATTCGCGGCAAACTGAATACATGGGATGTTCCCTAGAGATGAACTGTGTGGGTGTGTGATACTGACAGTTGGGAGAAGCTGAATTTCTTTTGTCAAGTTTATTAGCTGCTGTCACCAGTTGTCTTCTTCCAATTTTAAGAATTGTAGCATGCCTGCTGAAGTCCTGCATTCTTTGAAAAAGTTCAGAGTGTGCCTCATTTGTGCTGCCATCTCAGCTCCTGTACATTTTTAGATACAATATAATTGGATAAAGAGGTAAAGCTATCAGGAGAGAATAAAAAAAGAACCAACTGTTTAATGCCATTTTTGCATCAGCCTTCGCTAACAGGTTGACTTAGATGAGGCAATTGTGTCATATTAAATGTAATTTATCTTTGTCCCAGGGTAACAGGCTTACAGATTAAGAAGCAATATGTCATGAATCTGGGCTTCGCTAGGGTTTTGTCACTGGTTCTTATGTCATTCTCATAAATAATCTAGGGAAATATGATCTAGATGTAATTGCCATTGGGTGGATGTGATACTGGTTACAAAATTGCTCACAGAATACTTATCAAGAATGCATGCCAAACCAGAGGGATCTACCAGGTGGAATTCTGAAGGGACCTGCCCTGACTCTGGTATTATTCAGTATTTTCACTAA